AGCCTGGCATGTCGGCTGGTGCTGGCATTTTTGGGCACGTGTCTGCCTCCATTTTTGACGTTGGTGTGGGGCCCAGAAATGCTGCACACTGCATCTACCAGTGGGAGATAAAACAGGGGGACAGTTCTGAGATTGCACTGCCAGAAGGGACGCTCGATCAGGGAATTAAGAGAAGCACATGGTCCCATTCGCAGTGTCAGCATCCCTGAAGCTGAGAAAATAGCCTCTTTACAAACGGATTGAACAGAGAAGAAGAAAGAGGTTTATGAAGGCTTTGAGCTAAAGTCAACAGTGAAATGTGTGAAGACAAGCCTATGCGAAGTGTGACCTCCCAAAATTTACAGTAAGTCTTTTCGCCACTTAACTGTCTGAACAGATCTCTGTAACTAAATGTCATCCATTAACCAACAAACATTCCCCAAGAGAGCTGGGTCAGGCCTTACAAATGATTATTTAACCACACTGATAACATCAAATAAATTCTTCAGAGAGACAGCTGCAGCACTGCTAACTTTACCAAGCCATTGCATTTCGTTTTGATAGGTAACTCTTATGATTGGACACATGCTGAAGCCAAAATGAAAATGATTTCTTGAAACCAGAAAGCTGTGTTCAGCTAATGAATAGATTGCCTTAGGAAGAATACCTTTGGCTCCATGCTGAACTTTCTTTATTGCCATGCTTTGCTGAGCTGTTGTCTTGTTCTGTATGAATACAGCCCATACCATCTATTTTCTGACCATTGTCATTCAGCATCAAGTTCAATGTGGAACATTTGGAGAGAAAAACAGATAGTCTTCATCCCAAAATGCCCACAAGTTCCTCTTGGAGGCAGAACATTATCCCCTCACACCATCCCAACCTACATAAAGAACTTGCATTTGCTTTTCCATTGCCTTTTGGGATCTCAAAACATCCAATGGAACGCATTTGAGTCATACAGCAGTCAATTTGCTCACAGCAGATGGTTCAAGCAGAAAATGCTTCTGAAACCTTTAGTTTAACAGGTTGTATCTTCCTCTGGGGCTATGAGAAAATGGCATTGAGGTGTGAGAGCAGCCATGAATGATGTACAGGTTTGAGGGGCTGAATGGCCTACATGTTTCTCTGTTTTCTTGTCCTTTTACCGTGAACATTGTATCTGGCTGTCAACACAACATTGACAACATTTCAAATTTACTTAACTGAGAATAAGGTATTTTAACATATCCTAAGGTTGCATAAGGCTCTATATGAATGCAAACAATTTTTTATTTGTTTATTCATTCACAGGATGTGGGAGTCACTGGCCAGGCCAGCATTTTTTGCCCTTTCCTAATAGCTCAGAGAGCAGTTTAAAAGTCAACGAAATTGTTGTGACATGAGTCACATGTCGGACAGACCAGTAAACCAGTTAGGTTTTTCCTGACAATCAACAATGGATCCACAGTCAGCATCAGAATCTTACTTCCAGATTTATTTTATTGAATTCAAATTCCACCATCTGCAGGATTCAAACCCAGGTCCCTAGAACTTTACCTGGGCCTCTGCATTAACAGTCCAGCGATAATGCCACTAGGCCATCACCTCCCTTTGAAATCACACGACATTTTCCTAAGGCTCGTCACTGTGGGAATTGGTATTTAGCTTCCTGTTTCCCACCTGAGTCTGCTGGGCCTCTGCGCAGCTATTGGATTGTCTGATTCCATTGCGAGGCAGGGTTCTGTTCCTAAAGTAAGCAGGACATTGTTGAAATAAGCAACAAAAGCTTTCTCTTTTAGCTTTTCTCTTTTACGTCCCTGCTCTTCAGGCTCCTCGGCATGTCATTAATGCACACGTAAAAAAAATTCGTCAAGTAAACTCTGCAGTTAACAGATAGACATAGACTGGGTTCCATGATTTATAATCAAACCAAAGCATGTATCTCCCAAATCCTCTCAACATCCGGAGAAGAGTAGTGATCTGCGTGGGATGCTGGATTTACTGCTGATTGTCTCATTATGTTGCCTGTTCAAGTACCTTTTTAACACCAGTACCAATATAGGCGATCATTAATAAACATAATGAAAAGATGTGTGAAGATCTGATGTAGCGTGTACATTTGCTCCATCTTGAACAATTCTTTCTTCGCAAAAGCGAAATGCCGCAGGTGCCTGAAATCTGAAATAAACGAACACTGGAAACAGCCAGTGGTTCTGGAAGTGATGTGGAGTATGATGTAGTTTGAGGACTGCCCTATCACATAACACGTAGCACAAATATTGGGTTCTTATTGAGACAGATATCTTGAAGTTTATCAGCAACACTAACTACTTATATTTCCATAATATCATAACCAATACCATGTATTTGCTGATGTTACTATACATTATAGTCACACAATTGGGTGACTGCAGTACTAGTGAATGACTCCTTTGCACTGAGAGAGAGAGACCAAAGGCGAAGTACATACCTCTATATTGGAACGTCACGAGGGATGATGTCAAGTAATTGTTTTTGAGGTATATTGCCTGGTTTGGAATTGGTACAAAAATATGATAGGCAGGATCTGTGAAGTGAGAAACCCTGCCAAAGGCAGATGAGCCTTTAGTAGATATTTTCTGGTCAACCTGTCCAAAAATGTTATTGCACACCACTGGAGCAGGTGGGACCTGAACCTGGGCCTCCTAGGTCAGAGGTATGGACACAACCACTGTATCATAAGAGCTCTGAACCACTCCTCATATGTTTTCTTTTTTAATAGCAATCTCAGAAATTCTATCATTGAAAACCTGTTCTTCACCATCTCCCTCTTGAACCCTACTTCACAAATGTGACTGATTAAACCCTTGGTCCATCAATCATCGTTCATTCCTCTGAAAGAAAACTTCTTCAAAAAAAAAGCAATTAGAATAAGCACACCGTAAGATCCCAGCCGGAGAATGGCATCCCAATTTTGCCAGGAACTCCATTTGCCACAGAAGTTATGAAAGGAAAGATTGGAAATACTTTGCTCTGTCTCGAATCCATATAGTTTAATTCACCCAAAGTTCTGCAATATAAATATATTGGGAAAAGAATAGGTGCGATAACTGTAGAAATTAGCATTTTATTTGCCCTATAAATACAGCCACCACCACTGTAGTGATTGTAACAAGGTCAGCCAGGTGGACCTCATAGAATATGAGTTCCCTGATTGGGGTTGTTAACCTGGTCCAATCAGGGAGCCCTGGCTGACAGATATAATCAGGAGAGTCAGACATCCTGTTCACTCTGAGAGCTGGCCATGAGGGAGCCAGACCAGTGTCAATTACTATGCACATGTAAATAAAGGGTGACATAGAGCCAGAATACAAGCCTCTGTGGAGTTATTTCAACCACAAAGATAAGACTCCCGAAATGTCTGGATAATATGGTAGGAACAATTTATTTTTGGAGCGCACTGAAAATTTATGACTACTTCCAGTTCACTGCCATCTTGAATCTGTTACATGTTAGCAACAACAGGATCCTCCTGTTCCATGTCCCACTGTTTGATCCCTTGCCTTGGAAAATACACTCACTCTGCTCTTCCATCATCCCCTCCAGCCCCTCCTCATCCTGGTGAATCATTAGCTATCCAGCTACCCAGACCTTAAAAATCCCAGGCTGTTACTTTAAAGCAGAGCAGTGGAGTTCTTCTTTGCGTTCAACTTGTGTTTAGCCCTCCACCAACTTCACAAAAGCAGATTCTCTGGTGATTCTCACTGAAATAACTGCACAGAGGCCGGTGTCCTCTCATCTTTTATTTATGTAGGTGAATTACATGATGCTGACCGGCTAGCTCAGAGCCAGTCCCTAGAGCGAGGCGAATCCCTGACTCTCCTGTTTATATCTGTCAGCCGGGACTCCCTGATCGGCCCAGATTAACAGCCCCAATCAGGGAACTCAGTGTCAATGAGATCCACCCAGCTAACCTCCTTCCAGTTACTGTAATCACATTGCTGTTAGTGGGAGCTTACTGTATACAGGGAGGCCAATGTGTACCTTTCATCCCAGCAAAGGCTGCATTTTAAAGTCCATCATTGGCAGTTCCGTGTTCTAAGATGGCTGCAGTCATGTAAATGTAACTTTTTCTTAGTTTGTCTCCTTGTTCCCTTTCCAAGCATTCCACAGTGGGGTACGATGGCTCAGAGGTTTGCACTAGGGACCCGGGTTCGATTCCACCCTCGGGCAACTGTCTGTGTGGAGGTTGCACATTCTCTCCATGTCTGCGTGGGTTTCCTCTGGGTGCTCCAGGTTCCTCCCACAGCCCAAAGACATGCAGGTTAGGGTGGATTGGCCATGCTAAATTGCCCCACAGTGTCCAGCGATGTGTAGATTAGGTGAGTTAGACATGGGAAACGCAGCGTCAAAGGGATAGGGTAAGGGGGTGGGTCTGGGTGGACCCAATGGGCCGAATGGCCTGCATTCAGATTGTAGGCATTGTATGACTATGACTGCACTATCAGATGTGCCATCTTTCAGATGAAATGTTAAGCTGAGGACGAGTCTGCCTAATCGGGTGGATGTTAAAGATTTTGGAAGAGTAATTGCATTGTTGAGCCAATGTTTATGTTTCACTCCACGTTAATTGTCTGGCCACGCTCACATTTTTATGGGAGCTTGCTGCGCACACTTCCTACTTGACACAAGCGATCACCTTTCGAAAATAAGAGTGTATAATGCTTTCTTGCTGTAAATCTTTTTCACTGAACAGTGTTGGTTCTGCCACTTCTTAGCATCAAAAACTGGAGTTTAAGTTGTCTCCTGTGGTATTTGTAGTGTACTGTGAGATTGTTTTATCACTGAATCAGGCTGACATTCACACACCTGGATTTGTGATGTTGTAGCTCTCTTATTATTTTCAACGTTACACTCTGTTTGCTCGTCTAATCTCAGCGCCTCTGTATACGGACAAATCCTACTGGTAATGCTGTCCTAATAACTGATTGACAACGTTGTGTTACTTCCTTAGAAGATTTCCTTGCTGTTTTATTTTTGTTTCCTGCACTGTCTTTCAGGAACTCCCTGCCATTACATTCTCTCGCCATGGTCTGTGTTGCTGTCAGCGAGCGGTGGAATGTCTTTTCGAAGCAATGTCTCGGGTGTGGACATTTATACCTTTGCTGCGCCAGAACTGCTCCAGGGCAGAAGTTCCAGCTCGCAGCTTGCGATAGAGAAGGTAAGGGGAAACCAAGTGTCTGATGGCTTCAGCAGAAAGAGCTTCGTCAGGCTCCCCCCATCACATCTTGGTGCATGTGCTCCCAGTGCCAGCGAAGGGCCAATCTAAATTCTGCCCACTTTAAGAAAGCTCCTGCCAACTGGTAAACGATGTTAATGCTTGCAAATGTCAACTGAGCGTGCTCTAAGGTTAAAAGCAGTGGGGGCTAATTGGGAAAATATTGGGGCATGTATACAAGAACCAGTTTAAAGGGTTTTGTGACACAGTGGTAGTGCCCCTACTCCTAGTCCTGGTTCGAATCCCACTTGCCCTGGATGTGTGTCAGAACATGTCCAAATAGGTTGATTAAAGAAAATTTTCAGGGAAGGTGGTGATGTAGTGATCCACAGGAAATTGATCTGACCAGTTTTGGAATACTACATGCAATTCTGGTCTCCTATCCATAGAAAAGACGTTGTGAAACTTGAAAAAGTTTAGAAAAGATTTACGAGGATATTGCTGGGGTTGGAGGGTTTGAGCTATAGGTAGAGGCTGAATAGGCTGGAGCTATTTTCCCTGGAGCGCCAGAGACTGAGGGGTGACCTTTTTGGGGATTATAAAATCATGAGGGGTATGGGTAAACCAAGGGTTGTTTTCCAAGGTAGGGGAGTCCAAAACTAGAGGGCATAGGTTTAAGGTGAGAGGGGAAAAATTTAAAAGGGACCTTAGGGGCAGCTTTTTCACACAGAGGGTGGTGCATGTATGGAATGAGCTGTCAGAGGAAGTGGTGGAGGCTGGTACAATTACAACATTTAAAAGGCATCTGGATGCGTACATGAAGAGGAAAGGTTTAGACGGATATGGGCCAAATACTTGCAAATGGGATTAGATTAATTTAGGAGATCTGGTTGATATAGATGAGTTGGACTGAAGGACTTGATTTCTGTGCTGATGCCCATGGAATTCAACCCCAGCAGAGTTCACCATGCAATATAAAGGGGGAGGGAAATCTGGATACAGTGGGCAAGAGTTAAATAGAAGAGAAGAAAGTACTATTCCCATGTAGGACATCAACTGCATTGCATTCTTGTTAGATCACAATCATATTGTTTGACATGTCAAAGGGTGTAAGGGACTGCAAGGGTTAATACTGAGGAATACCCTCAGCACCACCCACTATGATGCAGTAATAAGGACTTAAGAATAGCTTAGCATCTTGAAGGAATAAGACTCGCCTCCAGGTCCTCCTCATAGACATTGCTACCCAGACTATCGTATCAATGTAAGTTGCACATGGTTGTTAATGTGCAATAAGCTAAATCTTGTTTAAGAGAAGAGCCCTTTTTGATTAGAGTGGTAACCAATTTCCCTCTACCACATCAGATCAAATGGGTTCTGTAGACCCCTGCTCTGGGAGAGGATGGTGGCAGTAAACCTGCTCCCAGGTGAGCAGTAATGCAGATATCCTCATACCATGCATTGGGCCATGATGAGGACGACATTGTTCTGTTGATTGTGCTCTATTACTGTGTCCAAATTACATCCTGTTTAGTAGGGGACACTTTAATCGGGTGTTAATGATACTTGACTCAAAGTCCACAGATTGAGTGAAAATACCACCCTACAACTTTCAGGATTTGTATTGAATTAGTTAATGTCCATGGAGGCATTGCCTATGACCTACTTGCAGGAATATGCCACCGTAATGATAGTGGCAAAGGTTGGCTAATTGCTCTCCATAACTACATTATGAGTAAAGACACTGACATATGAACAATGACCAAGATTCGGCCATTCAACCCCTTGAGTCTGCTCCACCATTCATAAGATCATGGCTGATCTGAATGTAACCTCAAATCCACACTCTAACCTAGCCCTGATAAGTTTGCTGACCAAGAATCTATCAACCTTTACCTTAAGAACATTCCAGATCTCTGCTCCTACCACCTTCTTAGGAGGAGCGTTCCAAAGACTCACAACTTTGAGAGTCACCATATCTTTGGTTTAAAAGGGCGATCCCTGATTTTTTAAACAGAGGCACCTAGTTATAAATTCCCCCATAAGAGGACACATCCTCTTCGCACTCACCGTGTCAGGTCCACTCAGGATTTTGTATTTTCAATCAAGTCACCTCTTACTCTTATAATGTTAGCCTGTCCAACTTTCCCATGTAAGACAACCTGCCCATTCCAGCTATTATTCCTGTTAATCATCTCTGAACAGCTTCCAATGAATTTATATCCTTCCTTAAATAAGGTGGCCAATATTGTGCACAGTACTCCAGGTGTGGTCACTTCAATGCCCTGTGTAACTGAAGTATAATCTCCCTCCCCTCACAATATACAATATGCTATTAGCCTCCGTAATTACTTGCTGTATCTGATTATTAGTGTCTCCTGATTAATGACACCATTTAATAATACCATCTTGAAGGTGACTTGGCAATCATGCTACACTCCAATTCTCACTGTTGTTAAATTGAAATTATGAAATGTGAAGACTGGGAATGGCTGGGAAGGCAGTTCAGTGATCTTTCTGCACAAGGTTTGCTGAGATGATCTTTTTGCTGATCAGAATGCTGAGGCAAGTAATTGCCAACCTGACTCCCCAGTGCTTGCCCACCAGCTACAGAGAGCAAGCCGGGAGTGCAGCTCCAAGGATACTCGAGCAATGTTCAGCTCAAAGCAGCCACTTTGTTTGTGATGGATGCTATGGATTTTTTGTTTGCCATTCTCCTGCTGTAGGTGAAACGATGCCAGCACCTTGTAGAGCATCAGAAAGCATTGACTGATAAAAGGCCACTTCCATTTCTTTGATAGCACCTTCAATATGCCCCAAAAGACTACAGGCAGGCATTATAAAACAAAAACAAAACAGAAATTGCTGGAAAAAACCCAGCATCTGTGGAGAGAAATCAGAGTTAACGTTTCAGGTCTCCTTCAAAACATTATAAAACAAACTTTGATTGTGTATATTTTACTTCAATATGGGTTCTATCTCAAATATGCGGAGACTCTGGCGATTAGAACTGGCTTGCTCAAAGATGACCAAGTAAGACTCCATGATAGCCATCTGTGCTGATGGATTGTTATCTGAGCTCCTTCTTAAAGAAGTAAATCAACACTGTTCAAACTATCTTTGTTGATCAAGCATCAACTATGTGCATTTTGAAGGCAGTAGCCCTTATTGACAGTTCCTGACTTTGTGGGAAAATTATACACGTTTGGTAAGGGTGGTGCAGTGGGGAAAGTAGGAAAAGGTGTTGATAATGGCAATGAATAAATGTGAGGCTATCTACTAGTTCGACTTACTCATTGCAAGCCCCTTGGTGCTGCTGGATTAATTCTGTTAATAGAGGGGTTTCACCCAGGCTAATGAACTGGCAGAAAGGACCAAGGGAGCTGAAATGAATGCACCTTCCCCATACAGTAGCCTCATTATAACTGAGGATTTGGCAGTCTCCCAGGCACTTTTTTTATAATGAGGGCTTACTACATCTGCTCATATTCAGTGTTTTCTATTGTTCCAGCTTGGATTGAATGAACGCTAAAATGGCTTGTGATAGAAAGAAGCTCAATTTGCACTGCAGTGATGTGCAAATTGGCCATTTTAATCAGATGTCACATCCAAACAGAATCCTGAGCCAGATAACTTTTCATTTTGTGAAACAAAAAAGTGTGTTAATTAGCATCTATACAGTTGAATCCTAGCAAAATCCAAGAGTTAATGAGTGTTGAACAACAAGGCATATTCCCCTTCACTTTAAAGCATTGAGATATGTTCAGCCTTTGTTTCTGTTTTGCTTTTCCACTGTCGTCGCCATTTTGACTTGTAGCACATTTTACACATTGACACCACATAAAATTACCTCAGACTGCATTGATGTATATTAATACTTCAATTGTTTATTCTGGCATTTAAATATATTTATAAAGTAGGACTCTATTATAATAGGTGGCTTTTTTTAACTCTGTTTTCCCCAGTTTCCTTCTGCTCTTGTTCTGTAGATGCTGACCCAGTTGATACATGGTCCCTGTTTCCCTGGGGAGCCAAGCTAGAGAATGAGGTCATTGACTATATCATGTCATAGAGTCATAGAGTTATACAGCGCAGAAACAGACCCTTCAGTCCAAGCCGAACATAATTCCAAACTAAAGTAGTCCTATCTGCCTGCACTTGGCCTATGTCCCTCCAAACATTTCTTATTCATGTCCTTATCTCAATGTCTTTTAAATGTCGTAACTGTACCCGCATCTACCACTTCCTCTGGAAGTGGCACACACGAACCACTCTCTGCATAAAAAATTGCCCCTCATGTCCTTTTTAAATCTTTGTCCTCTCACCTTAAAAATATGCCCCTTAGTCTTGAAATTGGATTTGCTTTGATTTATTATCGTCACACATACCTAGGTAAAATGAAAAGTTTTGTTTTGCGTGCAGAACAGGTAGATCATACCATTCAAAGATCATAGGGTGATAGAACAGAGTGAGGAAAACAAAGTTACATAAGATTTCACAAAAAACAAGATCAACATTAGAGCAGCATGAAATAGCCCACTCTATGGAAAAGACACCACAATGCTGTCCTCAACATCCAGCGAAGGACCTTGGAGAGTAATAGCATGTGGCAAAACCTGTCGGTGTTATTCTATTCTCTGGCTCAAAAGCCAGCTGTAGTATTTCCCTTCTGCAATTAGTCAATTCTTAGGATTGATGCCGGAGCCAACTCAAAACTCTTTGGAGGCCAATTTCAATTGAACCTGTTTGTTCATTCAGATTTGCATTGCACAGGGTATGAAATCTCCATTCAACTCAATCTAGTCACTTTGCTGTCATGTGGGTTAAAATGGCCCCCTTTGGCTCAGTCTCACTTCAGAAGATGTATTTACGCCCTGTCGTGTTTTGTTTTAACTTGAAATTTGCCTCTCCAGAAGGACAGGCTTTACCAATCAGAAAATCTACCCCTTCCCATCTGTCTGCTCAGCACTGCACAATCTAGTGTCTTGCAGGCAGTTTTTGCA